CCCCAGCTGGGGCGTAACTAGGGGGAGCGGAGGTCCCGGGGTTGTCCTGCCTGGAGAAGGGGGTGCTGGGAAGCCGGGCCAGGCCAGAGCTGGGGGCTGGCGGCCCCTGAGAGGGAAGGTGGCCAGACGGCGCTCCCGTGGCCCCTACCTACCCGCACCCCCAGGCCTGGCCTCCTCTCCTGCGGCCCCTCCCCCAGGAGCCCCGAGGAGACAGAGGCAGAGATGGGTGGCGAGGGAGGGGTGGCAGCCATGCAGTTATGGTGCGTGCGGGGACAGGGCAAGGTGGAGACAATCGGTGGCCGCCCGGCCCCAGCTGGCCCAGCCACCCTGCCCCAGGGACAAGCGGTCCCGGGCGGGGCTCCCAGACACCACCGCGCGGCCGCCAGGAGCCTTGCTCTGTCTGCTACAGGGTCTTTCCTTCATCTTGCGACCCACGCTGGGGACGTCCGAGCCCCCCTCCCCTGCAGACGCAGCTTTTCCAAGTTTCTGTTGAACCAGACTCTGCCCTCAAAGACTCCCAGTGAACCCCCGTTGCGTCCGCCCGCCTCGGCCACGATGGCCGTGAAAACACGTGTATGAAACTTTCGCACTAGGGGGTCCTGGGACCCAAGGGGGCCCGACGGGGAGCCTCCCTGACCCTCGGGCTCTACACAACAGACTTTCTGTGGGGCCACGGCGGTCAGTGCGTCCGCAGCTGCTGGCACCTGAGCCTTCCCTTTGGGCTTTCAGCGCATTTGAGGCCGGGATGCTCACGGCCCTTCTCGCTGTGTCTTGGCCTCAGGCATCAGTGCGTAAAGACTAGCTGCACACACGGAGAACAGCCTCGTTTCCAGCAGGGCTGGGCTGGCATCGCCAGCTTGACGGGCCTTCACGGGAGGCTGCAAGCGGGTGACTGGGACTGGCAGGGTGCCTCCCCCTCCTCGGACACAGGCGAGGCCACCAGACTGGGCAGCCTCGCCGGCCGAGCATTTACATTTTTAAAAACGAACTAAACCGCTTTGCAAGAAAAACCAAGCGTAATTTACACACAGGGTGAGCACAGATCTTCACTGCCTCGGCTCGCGAATGGCCACATCCCTACACACCGGCGTCTTGCACCTCCTTTAAGGCGTGGAACGTTCCAGAAACACTTCTAACACCCGTGTTGTTTTGACCCACTTACTTTCCCACTGCCGGAGGCAGCGAAGACCCAGGGTGGGGTCCCTGGACGGACGCCCGTGGAGCTGGGGCCGACCCAGGCCCTGGCGACTCCCGAGCCCCGCCCCCGCTCCCCACACCCCAGAGCGTCCACAGGCAAGGCCGCCAGCCTCCCCACCCCTCTGGCCTCGGGCTTCCGCGGGAGGACCAGCGTGTGGCCAGCCAGGCTCCGCTCCACAGCCCCACGGGCTGGGCCACCATGGGAGGGGCCCGCCTACCCGGGCTCCGTCACGCCCACCCAGGACGCCGCACCCAAGTCCCGCTCCGAAAGAGCAGGGACCACCCCAGAGGCGGGTGTCCAGCCCCGAAGGCCCATGAGTCCAAAGGCGTGGTAGAAGTCTTCAAGTTCGGGCTTAAGAGCACAGTCAACCTTACATCCTTCTCTGCCACACACCTGCGTTTGATTTGATGATAATAACGCCCCGGCACCCTAGCTAGAGTTTCCTTTTCTTCTTTTCTTAATCTTTTTTAGAAAATAAAAGATGGGGTCTCACTATGCTGCCCAGACTGGTCTTGAGTTCCTGGCCTCAAGCCACCCGCCCGCCTCAGCCTCCCAAAGCCCTGGCGTGAGCCACCGCGCCCAGCCTCTGACTGGACTTTTCAAGTAAGATGGGTGCTCGGGCCACAGTGGATGCCCAGGGACCGATGTGTGCGTTCCCGCCCTCGGCCCGCTGCCATTCAGACATGCACGTCTCCTCGCGAGAGATCCGTGCGTGGGCCGGCAGGGCCCAGCTACGTGGCACCATGGGCGCTCCCTGGACAGGCAAGGGACCTGGGCTCCCCAGCGAGCCCCGCCCCCCCGCGGGTCTGGAGAGCCACTCCGATCCCACTGCAGGGCTAGCCGGGACCAGGACGAGGGGAGCCCCTGAGCCGCGGAGGTCCCCTGTCCCCATGGTGACAGCGGGTGGTGGGAGGGGCCGGGTGGACAGGTTACCTGCTCCAGTGATGGCTGGCATGTTGAAGATTTCCGTCCCAGGCTGGCCAACGTCTGGAGGGGTGACACAGTGGGTGAGGTCCCCGGCCCGGGACACCACCGGCCCTGCCTGTCCCCGCGGGGTCTAGGCCGCGTGTGCCTGTGTCCCTGTTTATGCAGGCCTAGGCGGGGCCGGCGGGCTTCGCTTCCAGCCGGCGTCAACCGCCTGGGGGTGGGGGGACCGCCATCTGCGAGGCCTCCAGCCCGGCCCAGGAGGGAATGCGCCCCAGCCCGGGTGGGGGGGCCTCCTGTGGCCGGGGGCTGCGACTCCTCCCCCTCCACCAAGCCCCGCGCCCTCGAGGGGCTGCCGTGTGCTGGGCGCCCAGCGCCACCTGGGGAGTGCCAGGCCCCACCGGCCACGAGATGTGCTGGCCCTCACACGGCTGACCCGCCCCCAGGCCCCAGTGCTCGTGGAAGCATGCCCTGGGCGCCTGCTATGTGTGCCATCCTCCGTGCCATTCTGCGGCCTTAAGCTCCACCAGGAAGGCCAGTGAGTCAAGGGACCAGGAGAAAGAGCGGGGCGGCCAGCAGGTGCGGGCCTGGGATGTGCCCGGGGCCCCTGGCTCTGGTTGGCGGGCCCTTACTGTATTCCGGCTCGTTCCGGTTGTGAGTGTTCAGCTTCTTGTTGATCTCCTGCTTCTTAGACTTGACCATGGCCGAGTTGCTCTCGGTCAGCTTGCTGAAGAAAGCCGGCGGCTGGGTGGTGTTGCCTGGAGACTTGGAGCCCATCCTGCTGGGAGGGTCAGACGCCCCAGTCAGCTTGCTGGGTGCTGAGCTCGCATGCCTCTGAAGACAGGGAACTCACCACCCACACTGCCTTGGAAATCTGGAGCCACGCTTCTCCCACTCCTGTGCTTGCACCCCCGCCACCTATGCTGCTCACCTGTCCCAGGGCTTGGGGTTTCTAAGGGACCCCCGGCTGTGTGCTGAGCCACCGCTGACCCTCTGAAGAGAGCCTCAGTAACCAGAGGCGGGTTTGGCCACACCCTCCCCCAGGCCAGCTTCCTCTCTGCCTCCTCCCCATCCAACCCGGCTGGTCCAGCACTTCTTCCTTCCTCCTCAGTGTTGGAACCCTGCCTGAGCTGAGACCCTGGCCCAAGGCATAGAGGCTGAGGGCCCCCCAGGCAGGGACGCACCCCTCGCCCCTGAGATGGTGGGATCTGCTGGGTAGGTGTGAGGTCACTCAGCAGAGCCCGAGCCCTAGTGCCCCCACCCGGCACTGGGTGGACTGAGGCCAGAGCGGGCCAGGAGCCCAGCCAGAGTACCCTGAAGATGTGTCCCCCCAGTACCTGGGCTCTGCCTGCTCCCCGTCCCGATAGAGCAGGGGGAACACGGTGCTTCGGGGGTGCCCCGGCTCTGCCATGCCCTCCGGCGGGGACACAGGCTCAATACCGTCCTCGCTGCTCAGAACCGACGTCTTGCTCGGCTCTGGAGACCTGGTGGTGGGAGGGTCCCCTAGCAGTCAGAGTGCTCCTGGGGACGGCCCACCCAGCCCGCCCCGCCCCGGCCCGACCCGTCAGGCTCGAGGAACGGCAGGCCACATGGGGTCCCTGTGGGCCACACGCCATCTCTGCCGCCTGTTTTTCTGTCTTGAAAACCCTTTAGAAACATGAAACTGCCGGGCACGATAGCTCAAGCCAGTGATCCCAGCATGTTGGGAGGCCGAGATGTGGGGGTTGCCTGAGTCCACGGTTCAAGAACAGCCTGGGCATCATGGCAAGACCTCATCTCTACAATAAATCAAAAACTCGCCGGGCGTGGTGAGCGCGAGCCTGTGGTTCCAACTACTTGGAAGGCTGAGGCGGAAGGATTGCCTGAGCCCAGTAAGTCGAGGCTGCAGAGGCCATGAGCACACCACTGCACTCCAGCCAGAGGAACAGAGACTCTGACTCAGGAAAAAAAAACACAAACTCACCTTTTAGCTCACCAACTGTGCACAAGCAGGCACAGGCGGGATAGGGCACGGTCTGTGCCCCAGGGTCCCCCAAAGACAGAGACTGTCACCCACATCTGCGCCCACACGCACAGCACCTCCACGGGGATGCCTCCTTCACCCCAGAGCTCAAGGCTCGCCCCTCTCCTGATCCCAGAGCCCCTGAGGTTAACCAGGTATATGAGCATGCACACATGTGTGCATGTATGTGGGTGTGTATACATGAAGAGTACACATGTGCACACATGTACACGTGAGTGCGTTATGCATGTGTACTTGTGCGAGTGTGCATACATATGTAGACATGAACACGTGCACATGTGAGTATGCATATGTGCACACATGTATGTGTGTGTATAGTGTGCCTGTGTTAAAAGGTTGTTCTCTGACTGGGTTGGTGGCTCAGCCTACAAGCCCAGCACTTCAGGAGGCCGAGGGTTCAAGATCAGCCTGGGCAACTTGGCGAGACCTCATCTCTACGATTAAAAAAAAAACAAAAAATAGCTGGGCTCGGTGGCTCAGCCTGTAATCCTGCGCCTTTGGGAGGCTGAAGTGAGTGGACTGCCTGAGCCTGCGGGTTCGAGACCCGCCCGGGTAACTTGGCCAGACCTCATCTCTACAATAAATCAAAAATGAGCCGGGCGTGGTAGCGCGTGCCTGCAGTTCCAGCTACTTAGAAGTCTGAGACAGAAGGCTCGCCAGAGCCCAGCAGGTCGAGGCTGTGGTGGCCAGGAGCGGCCACTGCACTCCAGTCTGGGCGACAGAGTGAGACTCCAACTCAAAAACAAAACACAGCCAGGTGTGGTAGCGCGCGTTTGTAGTTCTGGCTACTCAGAAGGCTGTGGCGGAAGGATTGCTGGAGCGCAGCAGGCGATGCGGGGGTGTCTGGGAGCGTGCATGCCACTGCACTCCAGCCTGGGCAAAGGAGTGACACCAACTCAAAAACAGAGGCTGTTCTGCAAATTATACAGCCCGGGTTCCAGTCCCAGCTCTGCCCCTGTGGGCAGTGGCCCCGAGGGAGTGAGTTCACAGACCTCTGCTTCCCCGCCTGTGAGATGGGAGAGCGTTGCCGGCCCCTGCGAGGGGCGGTCATGAGAACCGATACAAAGCGCCCCAACTAAGCCCGAGCGCACCCAGCACGAGGGCCACGCTTACCCGCTGTCACCGTCAGCAGGAACG